TCCAGATTGTATGCTTAAAGTTACATTTCCGATCGAGGTATTTGTTATTAAAAAAATATTTCTATTTCTTAATATTTGATAATTATTATGCTATAATTTGTATCTTTTCAATGTTTGTATCATAAGGTTGATAATAGAGTTGAAATTATTACAGGTTACAGGGTTCATCATTCTCGTCATTTGCTTCCTGTCAAAGGTGGAATAAGGTGAATGATCATATTTTGATAGGTGACTAGCATAATTATATATGATAAATATTTATACTTTTCTCTAAATACAAAAGATTTTCACCGGAAGTTGAAGAACAGGAAGTTACAGCATTGGCAGCATTAATGACTTATAAATGTGCTATTGTCGATGTCCCGGTAATTCTAATAATAATTAGAACTATTCTATTAAAATAATTACATTAGTCATTTAAGAACTAATATAAATTAATAAAAACATTACATTGTTGGATTAAAGTTTGGAGGTGCTAAAGGTGGCATTTCTGTTGATCCAGGCAAATATACTGCTGCGCAATTAGAGAGAATTACACGTAGATACACCGTCGAACTATGTCAAAAGGTATCATGATAACTAAACTTTTTTATTCATAAATTATATTATTAATATAATCTGTTTATAACAAGGCGTTCATCGGTCCGGGTATAGACGTACCAGCACCAGATGTAGGCACAGGTGCCCGCGAAATGTCTTGGATAATGGATACTTATCGGCAATTTCATCCTAATCAGGTGGATTCTATTGGTTGTGTTACTGGAAAACCAATATCACTTGGTGGAGTTCGCGGAAGGAATGAAGCTACCGGACTGGGTGTTTATTATGGAATTCGTGAATTCATTTCGTATCCAGAAGTACAAAAACATACTGGGTTAAGTGGAAATGTTAAGGATTTAAGGATTGTCATACAAGGGTTCGGAAAAGTCGGATATTGGGCGGCTAAGTTTTTTGAAAAAAATGGGTGTGTTCTAGAGTATAGATTTATTAGAAAATTGTATATGCTATTATTTTTCTATTTTAATGTTCTATTGATCAAGTTATTTTTAATGTCGGTTTAGGGCCAAGGTTATCGGTATTGGCGAGAAAGAGTGTGGAGTTTATAATCCAAATGGATTAA